TTACGCTAAGCAGCGAAGGTAGGCGATATCAACTGCAGTTACGAGTATCACGGACAGCCGTTGGTCGTTAAGATGTCACACATAGTTGGAACCTGGTTTATATCGGCCCGCATAGATACTGGCTTGGTGATTACTGTAGGTAGCAGACAGGCACAACAGTGAAGAGCGGTGTTTAACACTGATTTCATGCTATTCATGATGATATAAGCAGCAGACATAAGCGAGAGTGTGCACATTTATGGATATGACGGGTAATCGTTGGCAGTTAAATCAGGACACTTCGCATAGCCGAAGCCTACTAAACGGCGTCGCGTATAGGCACTGGCCTAGCAGTTTTAATAAATAGTCAAGGTAGGCGATATCGCGTACACTTTTGAGTGTTAGGTTCATCGTTCGCCATTAGATTAGGTATGTATGCACAAGGACACTGACTCAAAAGATACGATCAATAGCCAAGTTAGATGATTTCGAGTGCAGGTGTGAGTATAACAGGCTGTCAGATGTGGCTATCACGCATGGCTGAGGCATTATTTTCACCGGTCGGCATATAAATTGTACTAATGTATACTGTAGCTAGCGAAGACAAGCGGGATCGCGTATAGTTAAGGGTATAAAAGACCGTCTTTGACCATCGGATTAAGTTACTGTGCATAGGCGCAGTCTCATTATCAACGTTGCACATAAACGCGGGCCTAGCAGTTACAACAAGTATTCGAGATGAGTGAAAACTAGTAGAGATACGAGTGCAAGAGGCCGTCGTTGCTCATTGGATTGGGCTGCCGCTCATATGTGGGGCACCGTAATTAGCGTCACACATAGACACGGGTCCAGCAGGCAAAATAGGTGGTCGAAGTGAGTGACAACGGCTACCGTCATCGTGGTGACCGCTTTATGGTGATCACCACCTATAGAAAGTCATAGTTGTAATAGGGAAGACGCCCACGGCTATCACGGAACACTGCATTATCTACAATCTATCTAGTTATTCATATCTGGGAAAGGGAATCATCCACAGATGTCCCTAGCACTGCCGCAGCAAGTTTGTGCTGTTATCCAACTTCATTGCACTAAACGGAACATGAAATCCATCGGGAAAATGTGTTGCGAGCAGGTACACCGAACAAAATATCCCATTTGTTAAACTGAGGTGTCTAAAGCAAACAAGCGCCTGTGACTGATTCTATAGGGTGGAATTTGCATTAACTACTCTTAAAATGTCATTTTATTTCTCAGGAACACCGAAGAACGCCAAAATATGCTAAAGTGCGATTTCGTGTTTTATGTCGCATAAACCGGCAAAAAATGTAAACCAGTGATGGTCAATGACCTTGATATTTAGATCACTTAAACAGAATGCTGCGTTCAAAATGTCACGGGAAGGGGCAAATTGATTAGACTAATTTCCCACTAAAATAGCAACTACGAAAACCCTATAGTTTCGGCGAACTCAATTTGGGTGTGTCAATAGCCTGCGGCGGATTTCACAACGGGGTTCGACAGTTTTGAGTGAGTCGACTTTCGTGAAACAGGATACTGCAGATTTCGACAGCTATCACTTAGTAGCAATTCAAAATTGTTCTACCCTAATTAGTGAAGGAAATCATGACGAGTCGTGGCGGTCAGTTATTTAGTCACACCTGAAGGAAAATAAAACGGCAAACAACTTTAAATGGGGGACCAACCGGTCAGAAAATTGCTTTCTGGGCCGGATCGCTCGTCGGGCACGTAAGTACGTGAATAAAATTTTCCTCTGGGCTAATTGCACTCTGCAAAATGCTTTGGTTTTAACGGGAGAAATGTTGCGGACAAGGAACTAAGTATGCGTGTTCAATAAAATATACAATCAAAATATCAGATTAGAAACAACAAATGGCAATGAGAAATGAACAAGTGAATGGAACAGACTCACTAAATTGGGGGTCCAATAATCCCACTACATGGAATGTTGTGCAGTAATCGTATTCGTCGGCAGCGAATATATCCAGAGTTAGAAGGATATTCTCCACTGATAGTTCGGGTGTTAGAAGTAAATTCCACGGTGGGAATTTATCACAGCTGAAAATTGTCACAAGGAGTTATTGTGACGTTCAACAGTTCGCACACAAACATAATAATCCAATCCCACGACTTCAGCAAACAGCAATCAGTTCAATCGGATGCAATTTCACTGACTCAGCAAAAAGCAGGGAAGTCGCGCCAAGAAATTGTGTATTTCACCATTTTTGATTTTAAGGTAATTATTGGTACAATAAAACAAATTGTCATGATACGTGTACAGTGTTTACAAATTTCAATTCAAGTTTATATGAAGAGAATAGAAAAATGGGGAAAATGTAACATTGATTTGCAAAACGCCACAGAACCAACTAAATCCTTTTTGAATCGCTCGTTTATCATCTTGCTTGACGGATTGTTCTGCACAAAGGCCGCCTCACGAATAATATCATAAATAAGCTGCTCATCAGTGATTCCCTTCAGTTTACTGCCGAAAGAATATCAGTTTGTAAATGAGATTGTTTCACGAATTGCATGCAATTTCGGTGCATTCAAAAAAACAAGCCTGACTGGAACTTGGCCACCCGTACCACATGAGCCCCAAGACGAACGAAGCCGATTGCGGGCTGTCCAACATTTTTCACCTAGCTAATGGGTAGGATTGTGCCTATTCTCCTCATTATTTCTCTTCAGCTGTTGTAGCTTGTTGAACGGTTGTGTGACTCTGTTTCGGTCTTTGGCTTCCTGCTCCGCCCACTATGGTATATGAAAAGGCACTGTAGCTGTAGACATCCCTTTATGGAGACAAAGGAAAATTAAAACAACCGTATTTATACGTTGACGGCGGAATGTTCCGCATGGTCGTGCTAGTGTCTCCGTCAGGTGAAGAGGAGTCTCGAGGTAAGGATGCTCGATCCCGATTGGCTGACATTCTCACCAATCGGGGCATACCTTCGTTTGGTCCATGGCGTGCACGCGAGACGTCGAATATCAATATTACCACAACTTTTCGACTCTCCATTTTTGTGACCTATGAGGAGTTCATGGAAGGCTCCGTAGGATTTTAATGATAAATAGAACCTTCGTTTGGTCTGTATGAACTGCAACAGCGTTTGCAAGCGTTTTTTCCAGTCGCCCTCCGACTTTGCGTAAGGTGTAACGCTTTTCTAAATATAATTCACGGCGGCTTACATGGTCTCTACATACATGTGATGGGAGTGTTGTTGACACAAATCAGTGATACCTGAAGCGCCATTCAGTGGCCATGTACAGCAATACAGTCGAAAATGAAGTATTTATCACGCGTGGTTAATTTGTATGTGACGATCTAACGATAAACTGTTTCCGAGGTTGTGGTAATAGAATCAAAATGGTGATGCTCGTTATTAGGAGCGGCTGGCCTCCGGACATCAGCGTCGGCTTTGGCTGAGGCAGCAGCCTGTCGTAGGCGTATTGGGCTTTTTATCGGCATCACTGACCGCGCGAGAGTGTGGAGGAGTTATGCATGTCCTCAAGTCGGCTAAAGTAATGGACAGGGTGTCTTGTCTCTGTATTTATCCTAAGGCGGGCCGAAAGGAGGTTCGGGTATTTTCAAAGAAATCAGCATATCTGTTTGGAGCGAGCAAGTCCGCTCAGTCTTTGGAGCGCCAATCTACTGACCGGAAGGTCGTGATTCGAAACCCGAACTCTGCATCACGACCTCTCCTGCTAGATTTGGGCAACCTGGCGGTACCCAATCCCTCTCGTACATAATTCACGGCGGCTTACATGGTCTCTACATACATGTGATGGGAGTGTTGTTGACACAAATCAGTGATACCTGAAGCGCCATTCAGTGGCCATGTACAGCAATACAGTCGAAAATGAAGTATTTATCACGCGTGGTTAATTTGTATGTGACGATCTAACGATAAACTGTTTCCGAGGTTGTGGTAATAGAATCAAAATGGTGATGCTCGTTATTAGGAGCGGCTGGCCTCCGGACATCAGCGTCGGCTTTGGCTGAGGCAGCAGCCTGTCGTAGGCGTATTGGGCTTTTTATCGGCATCACTGACCGCGCGAGAGTGTGGAGGAGTTATGCATGTCCTCAAGTCGGCTAAAGTAATGGACAGGGTGTCTTGTCTCTGTATTTATCCTAAGGCGGGCCGAAAGGAGGTTCGGGTATTTTCAAAGAAATCAGCATATCTGTTTGGAGCGAGCAAGTCCGCTCAGTCTTTGGAGCGCCAATCTACTGACCGGAAGGTCCGTGATTCGAACCCGAACTCTGCATCACGACCTCTCCTGCTAGATTTGGGCAACCTGGCGGTACCCAATCCCTCTCGTACATCATTCAGCAGGCATAGCAGCTTGACACTAAAAGAGCGTTGCGCCTGAACGATTGTTGTTTGTCGTTATGTCGGTCGGGACGTCTCATCGATAGTTTCCGGATAATGGTGGCATGATCTCCACTTGTTGGATCGGAGACATTCACCTCATTTACCGCCCGACCGAGTGCTTAAGACGGTATATTCTCTTTTGAATTCCTACCCGATATGTCCAGAACAGCTTACCCCAGGGTCGGCGATATCGTCAGACAGGGATATCTGTGTCCTAATTGCTAGTCGCAACAGCTGTCATGCATCTGATCAATCATTGCCGTAGTAAAGCCCGCCCCCTAGTTGAGGTTCAAGGTGCATAATAAAGATTTGCTTTGCATCTTGGAACTCCCCTATTTGCAGAGTTTGCGCAAGGCGGTTTTAAGCACTTTGTCGGCTGATGCATCAACGAGGATACGAGTTTATCTAACGATAGTGGCTAGTGTCACACACAGTCAACTCGTAGACGATCACTCTAGCGGATACTGGAAGCTTAGGCTGTGGTACCTCGTCTTTCTGTTGTGCTGCCTTACAGTCAAGTGCTTCAGACAACAAAGCGGTTTTTTTCTTGATGGAACACGCTTCTCACAGGACTGCTGAATATTTTTTGGTTTGATTTGCAAATCAGTGTATTCCGGCAAAATCGGCATGATTTAGACAGGAAATCGTCGTAGTTTTATGAAGGTCGAATGACAAAACCGCATAATTTTTATCCATGACCTTTTCTGACAGTTTCATCGTTACCATACTCAGCTTACTTGCTTAGCAGTTTAGTTGGATTATCACAATTTTTTCAGCATGATTCCAATGAATCACTGAGAGTTTCCAGTTTTACATGGGCGAACCGTCAGCTGGCGGTGTAATGAAAAATTCCGCAAAGAATGATCAGTTCAACTATTGGATTACACGGGTTCCACTTCTGGCCAGGAGCAGAAAGTATACACCACTTTTCAAGAATCTCATCATTGGCGGTGGGTTGATGATGGTGGGAGAAGTTGTAGCACAGGAGATCAAATATTGTTTGTCTACAAGTCATCAGGAGAACAATGTGACAGAACAAGATTTGCCTTCGACGACAGGGGAAAAAATGAATGGCCTTAAAGTCCTGTGTGGATGTTGGAGGAACCAAGTATTTTCAACAACTCATATTGACATTTATGGAGTAGGTGAGTGATATTCCTCAAACCCGAATTACAAGCAACTTGCAGTACTCAGTCACTCTTTGGTAACCTTCGCATGGCATTTTGCTGTTGGGGCACTCGTTATCAGTGAGGTGTCAGTTTACTGCACGCCATTTGGTACTGGTTTGGTCCATTTATAGCTTGGTATGCAAGGATAAATTTAAATAATGTGAAATCTATTGGTTTAAATCTGACTTATTCCTAAAGTACGATTAAGTATCACCGTAATACAGTGTGATGTGCGGTTACGTTTCTTTACCGTTGGTTTTCACTGATGGTTCAAATATACGCTCCTTCCAAACTCTCAGCACCCAGAAATTCACCACTCACTATTTTGTTGACTCATGAGAATGGCTATGTATGGCTAATTATTTGGGGAATAACCAGGTTCGATAGACTAAAACGAAGTGGAGACTTAAACTATGCCTAATTTGGAATAATCGGTCATCAATTACAAACTAGGACTATCTTGATGTACATGCATTTGACCGGTCCATTACACATAGTTTACTACAGTTGTTTCTGCCAAGCTTGAACGTCTTAGAGATTGCGGAAATAGTTTGTTTCTTAGGGGTTCACTCTTCAGATCAAGACAGTGTGCTCTGTTAACTAATGGATTCACTGTACGCCGTCCTTTTCCTGGAGAATCCCGTACCCCAGAGATGCACTCTGGATGAGCAGAGTCACCTGAACTGTTTCAACTAGCAGAAGTACCAATTGACCAAGTCACTAGTGTCAACCGTTACTCGCTGGGAGACGTCATCAAAACATTACTACATTTATGTTTCCCATGTACACAAAAAGTTCGATGGAAATGTGTTTACCGAGGTATCCAGTTCATTTCAGTTGGTATTTTGAATAGTTCGCTCAAAACAACCGTTTCCGTTGCAAGCAACTATGTTCAATACTATCGTTTATTTTTTGAAGAGCATGGTCACAAATATGAAAGGTAAATGCAGTCAATGGGTGTGGAAGGGTTGCGGGAGAATGTTAGCTAAAAAGATAGAAGCGTTTCATTCGAAATCATGTCACCGACAGTTCCAGTCAGACAAGATAAATTCCGACGTATTTAAGAATAATTGGTATGGAAACGAGGAAAGGACGGGCAATACTGAATGCTCTTCAAAGTGGTGTAAGCGCTAGCACAGTCGAGTCTCGCACATCAAGCACAAAGTGTTCATCATACTGAGTCTGTGAGAGTCACTGGCATGGATGTACACTCAACGCCATGTATCACACATAAAATGTCGTAGGTACGTAGCATGCCCACAATGGCAAGCAAATACAAGTCACTGACTGCGACCTTAGGAAATCCCAGTCCAATAACTGCCTTGGGGGTTGAGGAAAGCAGATCCCTCGATAAGAAATGTTCATCGGTTGGTGGACCAAAAAGTTGACATCACAATCGATTGCACTTAGGGCTGACATTGTGGGGAGGGAATATTCATCAAACACATACTTCTGCTTCTTCTCATTCCACACAGTCATTCCGCGCCCATCCGAGACTACGCTGACGTCTGTTACAGTTACTCGGCGCTCCCGAACAGCGATTAGGTCAGGCTTGATGAAAGACGTCGATGTAGGTGCTCTCAACTCATCGAAGGCTATGTATCCCAGTCGACGGAGACGTTTCACGAGTTCCCTTGCAACCCGATTATGACGAGAACATCTAGCATCGTGTGTGATCAAGCAAGACCGCAAAATATGACCAAAATCTCTGGTTAACCAGCTTCCACGACAGAAGATCGTCTAGCCACCATGATCATGTCGAGCGTTTCTAACTCTCGTCCTAAGCAGGTTGTATCGGAGCTGGATAACTTGGATAAATATCCGAGAAAACACTCGTTCTGGAAACACAAGCCATCAATTCCAAAAAGGCGAAACGACCATTTCCCGTAAACCCTGACCGTCAACGCTGTTGTGCGGACTATTACCCCCAGCTCTTCCTTGGTGTTTACGCATGCACCTTGGACCCAGATCAGAAAGCTGAGATCCCGAACCTTTGCCAAATGCGGAATCGTTGACCACACTGCCGATTACTCAACTCTGGGTAGAAGGGATCATTAAAAATTGGGACATTTTTTGGCTATCCACTGTTACTCAGATTCCGAACAAATTTCAATTCATGAGACAGACACATTTTGAACTGTCATCAGAAGTGTCAACATTAGCCGCGATACCAAGCACTGCTCGAAGATACGCATTTCTCAGGTGGTGTGTACGGTCGGTGAATTCGGAGTATATCTTAACATTGAATGAAAAATGTCATCATAGCGTGTGTGTTGATATCTGGGTGAATTCGTGTCTGTCTGTTCGACGGTTTGCTTCACAGTGCTTATGTTGATATGGCAATATATGTCCTTATGTACACCTTATACGCAAATCTGTGCGCAACAGTGTCCAGAGACAACTCTTTTGTTTGTGCTGGAGGCGTTTTCACCTTGCTTGCCCGTTTACTGCTTATGTCGAGAGTCTAGTCTGGACGTTTCTGATTCGACAGTTTGCATACTAGCTTATGGTTAGAGGAGGCGAAAAACTTTTTCGTTGGTGCCTCGGAATCCGTGGAAATCAACGAGACACGTTTGTTACTGACATCTTTGTTTTTCTTTGTTTTGCCCATTCCAGCTAGACTTGGTTTCATCGGAACCTTCCAGGGTTTTTACCAACACTTCTACTATACTTGGCTCGACAGGAAGTTAATCGGAAGTTCTGCACTTGTCGTGGCTAAGAAGGTGGTCCTAGATGAAGTTCTGGTCGGGCCGGCAAGTCTCTTGGTCTTCTTCGTGTGTAAGTCTGGCTGACTTCTCTACCATAGACTGGCTAATAACGATAAAAACAAGCGAATCCGATTGAAATAAGGGATTGGTTATAGATGGTAGGCAGAGGGGACAATGTTGAACGTGAATCTTCATTCACACAGGTTATTCAGATTCATTTTCACGCAACTGATGGCATGATGCACTGGCTATGCCTTTATAAGTCCAGTTGTGGACAATCTTGTCCTTGAATTCAACCCACAAGGGTATCATGAGTGAAATACTATGGAAATATGATCTTCTCTAATATTAGCACCTGTTTTCCGAACACTTTTTCTTAGTGCCAGTTCAACTTCTTCATTGTGTGCAACTTCCTCTTCTTGTTGCGAGATGGCTCAGTTGTTAGTGCGCGAATTTACTGAACGAAAGGTCCGTGGATCGAGCCCGACTTCTGCCTCTTAACTTCCTTTTGTCTAGGCTTGGGTAACCTGGCAGTATCTCAGCCCCCGTGCTTCTACTAGCCTGACAGTTGGGCACCGGAAGGATGCTGCAGCTGAACTATTTCTTCTTTTCGTCTTGCACACTCTCCCCCAACGCTGGGCTTTTCGTAACTTATTAGGCTTTACTTAGCTTATATGGTAGACTCTCTCGTCCTATCCCAACTTAACAGCACTTTTTCCAATAAACTAGCGTTTGACGTGTTCAAGTGTCTCCTCACATAGAATTCGAATGCCAGTTTACGGTAACATGTGTTCGGTCCTCTGTTTGTTGCGTCTTTTATCATCTTCGGCAACGATGTGGCACGACCATTTGGCCAATATTCAGCTTGATTAAGAAGAATGAGCGTATGTTGCTGTAGGTGCAGTCGGTAGACTATACTGACGTGCCACTCGACTGCATCAGCCGAAGTACTGAGATCCAACTGCATGGCCTGATGTGGAGTATGTATGGATGTATCTACGAACATCGTTTACAGCTATGGCACCAACCTAAATATCTTGATTTCAAGTGTGTCACTCGTCTGTATTGTCTGGTTTCAGCCAAGCACATTGTATACAAGCAGAGCAGTGATAGAGAAACAGATGCCTTGTGTTACTGCTGTGGAAATTCCAACCTCCGCTGTGGATCTCGCTCTGAATGCGACACTAAAACTTACAAAAACGAATAACATCTAGTACAGCACTCTGCCTGTCACGAAACTGTCAAATGTATACGTTATTTCCTGTTTACGGAATAATTGCTCATGAGTTTCTACGCGAAAGGTAGTGTGCTACTAAACCGATCCTTGAAGTGTGAAATTTCTGTGCTGGGACGTCGGTAAATGTTTGCACCATACATAGAACAATTGTAGTTTCTTAACCGTAGTGTGCTTTACGCAGTTTTCTGCGATTGTCGTGTACTCCCGACGGTAGTGCAACTTCTTTTTCTGTCCTTGGCTTCCTACCCCGCCAATTATGGGTTAGCAAAAGGTTCGAGACAACTGTCTATCGAAACAAAGGAAGCTGATTGCAAATCTGCTAATAGGGTCGCCGGAATCCTTGTGAGGGGGCGATAAGTGCCGAGCTTTAATGCTCGATACTGATTGCTATCGCTTAGTCCATAGCCCACATGTAACATCCGTCCATTGGATATGATGTCCAGTTATTAAGAGTGGCTGGCCGCCTGACAGCCTCGCCTTGACAAGGACCGTATTTCAGTTTTACCGACGAATGTAACAAAAGTCGGCACAACACGCGTAAAAAAAACCTGGTCTTTCTTGTCCAGCCGTTCCTGGAGAGTTGAAAAACTAGTAGTGTGTTGACGTTCTATGTTGATCTCGGTTGTACCCACTTGCTGCGTTTCACATCAGCAGGGAATGATTTCCTGTACAGCGATTGGACATGTCAGAGTATCTTAGAGCAATTTCTTGTATCCACCCGTGATACTTGCATCCGTTATTTGAGCCAGTGGCAGTGTTCGAATTTTAAAGTAACTAAGCTCTACAGCACCGCTTCTACGGTTTCTAGTCCTTCAGTGAATATGCAAATAAATGTCTCAGGAACAAGTACTCATGTAACTTGGAACCTTTTGTGGTGTCCGTGCTCATCTGGATAGCAGCCACTGTGTGTTGGAAGCGAGTGATCCTCACGTTAGTTTTGACACAGTTAAAGATAGATAAGTGTTGTGATTAGACAAGTGGTTGAAAGGAAGATTCCGCGTTTGGACCTGATGACTGCTTCTTTGCAAATACTTTTACCGTGTGAGCTGCTAGAAAATAATTTTCGCGGCTTCATTTTTTGTATCGAGTATCTGTGTAACAAAGTCTTCTCCATTCCTACCACAGGGCGCACCTGGTACTCAGTAAGCTGGCCCACTTTTTTTGTAAATTGCTTCCTCTCTAAATATTTACCATTTTTATGACGGTCGAATCTAGGAATTTTTGCGAAATCGTGTTGATCCTCAAGTACCAAAGCACATGACTGGTTTGGTCAGTCAGTAATATTCACCGAGTTTTGTTTTTATTCTAGAAGTGTTTTGGACGTAAACAGTTCAGCTGGTTTAAAACGAAATAGCAACTATCAGGAAATGAAAACAACACCATACATCGCAGCAACCGAAGACAATAGAACTCAGTCGGATGCCTTGGTAAATGCGATGCAACCTCAATCTAAAGGAGATATTCTCAGATTATGTAATACCAAACACAACAGCCTGCTAATAAATTAAAGTGGACGATAGCTTTGTACACTCAGTTATGCCATTCACTGGTGTACTTTAAATCACATTCGGGCTGAATTTTTCACGTCATTCCTCGTGTAAACAACTAGTTGCCAACCTTGGTTGAACATAACACATTGCTCATAAAGTTGCTAGAAACTTGGCAGCGTGTGACCGATTTTGTCCTCCTTAGGGACCATCCGTTACGAAGCGACCTGACCATATCGTAGTGTGGTGGTTTGTGTACCTGCGCAACCCTTTCAGCTGTACTGGGGATGTCCGCGCAATACTCGCAGTTTCCAATACCAGGTTGGTCAGTGGTTAGAGGTCTGACGAACACAGTCTCCTGGTCCTCCAGGTCGGGGGTTGGAACATGTATGGCGAATCGTTTTGTAAAAATTGAAATGCATTTGCACTTTCCGGTCAAGCTTTTGAGCCAAAAGCTTTGGTTGAGGAACAACCGTCTTCTTGTCTATGTCTGGACGCCATGGCAGTATCAAAGCCCGCGTACAACCATGAGCTGCACACACACAAGTAAACTCACGCCACATCGGTCGTCGCGTCGTGCCATCAGCCTGGTAGCCTTAGTTGCTGCCTACAGCTGGGCGGTTAAGCAAAAACAAGATACTGCTGATACCCCCTTCTTTCTCTTTCACATACCTTTCCTTTTCACTCTCCCCACCTTATTAATAACTCTCTCCAGACCAAGCACTTAGGCTTGCTAACTCCGTTCATCCTGCATCCGTTTCGCAAGCAACGTCTGCGGGTTATCTCGAGACAACTCGAAATCAATCATCAAGCTTCGACTCCCAGTCTATCTGGACGCTTCCAATACCCGCACTCCGATTCAAGCGGGACAACGAGCTCCCTTACTGTCACACTGAACCCGCTGGGCATAGATGTGTGCTATGCACCATAAAAAGATTTCAAGATGAAAGCACAGTGGTTGAGCTACCCTCCATGTCATTCCACTCGCTTCCGGCTTCATGAATCTGATAGGGTCGAATATTTCGAACAGTTATCGTGGATAACAGCTGCTACTCACCTGGAGCCCATAGCCGACGGAGAAACCTGAACGGTGAAAGCGGAACCTCTTACGGCATCGCAGGTTCATGACTGTATACCTTCTCCCAAGCGCCATCGAGTTTCTGGTCCGCACCATCTACCCGCATTGTTCAAAGATGGGACTGAAGTCCTCACTCAACGCTTGTCCAACCTGTTTGCCTTTATTTAGGAAAATGAGACTATCCCATACAACTGGAGAGTTGGTGATAATGTCCACTTTCAAAATAAGGGACTCATGGTGAGTGTGTTAACCACAGGAGGATCAACTCAGCCCCGGTTATAGCGATACTGCTGGCGTACGTTGTCCTTTGTCGCCTAACGGTGACCCGTGGAACACAGACTCGAGAGCAGCATGTGGGATTCAGGCCTGGTATGGGTTGCATTCATCAAATATTCATTCTAGAACGACGTCATACGTCCAATTGACCCCAAGTTCTAGTGTTCGTGCATTTCCATGGCGCATCCGACTTGGTTGACCGGTCTGTTCTCTTTGACACGCTTATCCATCAATGGATGCCCCGGAAGTGAACATAAGACCATACAACTGGAGAGTTGGTGATAATGTCCACTTTCAAAATAAGGGACTCATGGTGAGTGTGTTAACCACAGGAGGATCAACTCAGCCCCGGTTATAGCGATACTGCTGGCGTACGTTGTCCTTTGTCGCCTAACGGTGACCCGTGGAACACAGACTCGAGAGCAGCATGTGGGATTCAGGCCTGGTATGGGTTGCATTCATCAAATATTCATTCTAGAACGACGTCATACGTCCAATTGACCCCAAGTTCTAGTGTTCGTGCATTTCCATGGCGCATCCGACTTGGTTGACCGGTCTGTTCTCTTTGACACGCTTATCCATCAATGGATGCCCCGGAAGTTTGTGAACATAAGAAGTTCTTTGTATTCTCGGGACGTGCTATAGTACAAGGACAGCCCTCCAAAACCTTCCTACACAAAACAGTGTCCGTCAGGGGTGCCTACTCTCTCCATTCCTATTTAATTTCGTGATCGATGAAATAATGAGACGAACACTGGAAGGTCTTCAAAACCCTAGTGTTCGAATGGCCTCCGACGAAAACCTTTTCTTTTTGAAATAGGTGTTCGGACTTGTTGTCGACTTCGAAGGGATGCAGAGGTACAGGTGTTTTCAGATGAACTGACCAAAGTCATCCTGTCTTTTGTACCCACGAAATGTAAGTTCATTCCTCTGGGCATGCAGTCACTGAGTGGGTCCCTTCGCTTTTCACTGTTATTATTTTCTTCGCAATACGGCTTTCGAATAAATCCTGATTGTATGGCAGCGGTGCAACAGTGTTAGCCACGAATGTCATGCTGTTTATGATGGCTCATCAGGTAGACGCACTGGTTGATTTTCCCTCAACCTCATGTTCTACATGAACACAAATTGCACGAAGTTATCGAACTACCATCATTTTTATACTAATTAGGTTTTCACGGGAGACTCGCCTGAATCCCAACTGAATCCCTCATATATGTTGGTCCTTTTCAGCACGATGTGTTGCACCTGTCCCTGGGCTGTCATGCAAGCTTGAGTAATGTGCTACGGCTTTACCATGTTCTACGACACTGACATATCGTACCAGCTGAAACCTGAGGCGGCTTGGTGTGGCACATTCAGTTGAAAAAGACCACCATAAACCAGAAATTCAGCTGGGATTCAGGTATCTCCAGTCTAACCAAATTAATATGCAAGCTAGTGGATGTCGCTCGTGTCCCACTTATTGTATACCGTAAACGGCTTGCATTTCATCGACTTCTATAGACCCGAAGATATTCTGAATAACACAGAAATGCTCGCAAATAGTTAATGAAGAATTGGGGTACAGTTATTACCGGACTTTTTTTTAGAGTAATGCTGTTTGTAGCCTAGTGGTTTTTCGATGGTGAGGAACCTGTGTTAGAGTTTTGTAACACATTGCATTTTGGCTTCCAAATGACTTCATTTATTTGCCGTAATCGATAACCGGTTTTAAAACTTGATTTGTGCAAATACAGGTAGTTCATACGTGACTCTGTGGAGAGTGCATATCACGCAGCGTCATCAAATGGACCAGATGACGTAAAATACCATGGAAATGATGTGGCAGCTGGGTGCACCACCCGAAGATCATTTATAGTTAACGCCGATGTTAAATGTACGCTCCCATGGTCTTTTGACGACACGTGTTTCATGTGCTGTCAATTTCTATACTTCCATGCGTGAGAAAGGCATCCAGACGGGATTGTCTATGATTTTCCATCCGCAAGCACCATTTTATTCGACAAATACGTAATGTTCTCATAACCAGGCAAGCATCTACCGTAGAAACATAGAGCAGGAGTCCGGGATGGGATAACTAAAGCGGGCCCATTTACATCTGACTTATCAGGTTGCTCAGTGGTTAGAGTGCGAATTTACTGATCGGAAGGTCTGTGATTGGAACTCGACCTTTGCATTTCGGGTTCCCCTGTCTGGGCTTGGGCAACCTAGCAGTATCCCAGCCCTCGTGCTTCCTTCTGGTGCCATAGAAGTTAGGCACCGAAAGGGTGCTACAGCTGAACGGTTATTATTTACTATTACTATTAGTCCACTGTACACCCTCGATTCCTTAAGTGACTGCTTTTAAGCTCTCGTTCGTTAAATTTCTTTATTTCTGACATTCCGTTCCACTATCGGTAGCCGGTTCTGAATATGGTAGGAGCACCACGGTAAATATCGAAGTGTCGCATTCTGGTGGGTCACCGTTCACCCCTATTGGTTTTCGGACCAAAAGAAGTGTAATGTATGCATACATGAGACGATTTTGGTTCACGTACAAAACGCTGTCGGTTATTTTCGCAGCAAAGTACTCTTTGCCAATGTAAAATTTCGCTTTGCAACATCTGGATGCACGTTACAGTCACACATTTATCATCATTAGTTGGTACGTCTGGTTGTGTTCTGAATGGATATCATAAACAAAAAATAAAAAATAATGGGGACGGTAGTCATTTTGTTTAGTGTAAGATGAATGGGACCGGTATTCATTATCCCATCAGTTATTTTATCCATTATCCAAGAATTTTTGAACTCCCTCCTGGGAGCAGTCCCCCCACTCTACTCATAACCACTGTTACAAGGGAAAGGGGCGATTTAAGAACCGGTGGGATCGAAGAATAAGTTGACTTTTTGGCTAATCCCGTGAGATAAAGCTTGTCAGATAATTTCAATACTCGATGATCTGATAGACATACAGTTTTTTCGTGATAAGTTAGCCGTTTTCCCTCAAGGTCATCTCGGAAATTGGTGGCAGAAAAACTTGAGGGTGAATAAAGGGCATTGTCAAGCAGTGTGCGAAATAGGAAGCCGCTGCAGCCGTCGCGATAGATACTATTCAGTAAATTAACCTGTTGCATTTCGTCTCGTTTTGCCAAACCACGTGAGTGGTGTGCATCAACAGCGTAGCACCCTCGTCAAACTGATGCTTCGCGTAATCCGAACTATTGGTGTGGAGTTAAGCAAGAATCAGAAATTGATGTAATGGACATTTACTGTGTTGCAGTAGTTGACAACGAAGCGTCTCAGACGGATTGTTGACAAATCGGTTAGGATAACTTTAGGACGAATCCCTCTACAGAAGCACAGTTTTGGTGCGATTCCTATTTGTTCTGCTTAAGGAGAGGAAGGAAATGAGCTCTTGGTTCATCCCTGTAGGGCAGTAGTTTGGCTTTCGTTCTAACATCCTCTGTTGAACTTGCTAACATGTTTGTTTTTAATCAAAATGCCCTTGACGAAATACACTCATTCGTATACCAGTTTGGTTTTAATGGGAGACTCATATTAATCCCGACTGAATCTCTCGTCTATAATGTTCATAAGCAACTGAATGTGCTGCACCAGGACACCTCCCATCAAAACCAAATCGGTATTTCGCTAATTTCGTGCGATTTCGGTTCAAGTGAGACATAAAGTTGACGTAAATGCTGGGACTGTGCTCACTTGACGAGCCCCAAGAAGGGCGTAATCGGTCGTGGACCTTCGGAAGGTTTTCAGCAACCTTATGACCAGTGTAAAATGTCATTACTTATATCTATTCTTTTTCGTTCCCAGTCTCATATTTGTAGATCTATCTAACCACAGCTAACCAACTTTGAGGGTTAAGCCTTGTTTACGGTATTCATTCATTTGCAGTTTCGGAAGGATATACGCAAAAGTTACATCAACTGATCCTTTCTTGGTGACTAAACCAAAGCAAGCATCGTGCAGAGCGACATACTCATACACAGCAGTAATTCAGAAAATATCTTATTGTAACTACCCGTTGCACAAGGTTGGAAGTGGGATTAATGTGGGATCCCGATACATCAGACGTTATAGGTACCGGGATTCAGTGTTGTGCACTCTCGTTAGACCAGTTTCCTGGGTTTAAATGCACTTGCACTTTTCTCTTTGTTATATTTCTCTTTGTTACTCTCTACCATTTGACAGATAACGGGTACTGTAACACGAAAAGTCTGAAAGGTGGTGTGGAGCACGCCAAAAACCTGTTTTGGCCTGCTTACTTTGCCGATCTGGCTTTCTGGCCCCTCGTTCAATCGATTAATTTCGCCTTCCTCCCCACTCGGTACCGGGTCCCGTATATCGCGTTGTTCATGTGCATTTGGAATTCCTATCTATGTCTACTCAACTCCAGAAAGGTGAGTCTTCTTGGTCAGCAACAACTAGTTCTCCAAGATTCCGGTGGCAATCTTATAAATGGGCTTTTTCAAGTATAATAGCCACAGCGTTCCATTATAACCCACTTGAGTAACATTTAATGCATCCCTTGAAAAGCTACCACGGACTGAGGATCTTTCCAACAATAAATAGTATTCGTTAGCCCTTTGGAATTGGGTCACGCGTTGACTACACTGTTCACCAAAGCAAGGCGCATAGACAGGCTCCTCTTTGGTGTGCACATTCCCACGGTGAGTTTTTATTACTTTACCAGAGAACGTTTGAACCATGGCACTCCGAATGCCCCATGCTTTTGAGCTGCAGGCCTTGAAGCACATTAACGCATGCTTATTGAATACTCCGTTCGATCTTTCCAAACTAGGTCACTATGTGCTTTCTCTTTGGACTGCACTTCTCCAATTAGAGGTAATTTCGCAGCCAGATACCAAACTGATACCGTGTAAAGCAAAGTGCAGTTCTCGCCTCGGTCTTCCGTGTGATTATCCGAAATTTCGCCGGGATATGTTGGGAGGAGTTGATTACGTCAGATGTATGTTTGTATATGTGTGTGAGATCTGAATGGCTAGGAAGTTCTGACAGTCATGGCTTCGCCTGTAGGTGACACAGTTGTCACATGTTAACCAGTAGTTATATTTGATTGTTGGTATGCCCTATACGGTCAGACTTCGGTTCCTTCCATTTTGGCAGTATGATCGAGCTCACAAAGCCGGGAACGCGAAATGAATTGGAGTTTTCAAAGGCGTGAAAGTGAACCTGAAAGCTATGGGAACTTAAATCAACGGTGATAACTTTAAAGAATATAGGAGATTCCACAGTACTGTGCCTGACACGGAACATGGGAAATTCTCCTTTGCAGATATGTTCCATCACTTCAGAATTAATGAAGCGCAGTTCGAGCCGGTTGACTGCTGCTGTATATTAGTAAGGTTAAGTAGTTGGGGCCAGATAATGAACCAGTCTTGTCGAGAATATTGTTCTCATTGAGAACGACATGCTTATCGCAGGTCGCGATGCACGTGCAATTACAGCACAATCCTTGCAAGAAATAAGAGTTAATGATGGGGGACCCATCGTTTATGATAAGAATCCGTTAAATTAATTCAAATTCGTCACTTTACCTTATCTCTATGAGAGATCCAATATTTGTTTCAAAATGTTCACAAAATTTGTGTGACATTTTGCTTGATCATTCGTTAGTCCACGCGGAGAAAATATAGGCCTTCAACTGAATCTAACTTGACTTTACCCTCATTTGCACCTCTGAAAAAATCATCCAGGACTCAAAATATTCCGTTGTCGAATGACTTTCCAATTATTTCGNCAAAATATTCCGTTGTCGAATGACTTTCCGATTATTTCGAGTCATGCTTCTTAATTGACATCTATGTGATTCGTGTTATGTTCGAAACGCTTTGAATCTCGGCTTTTAGCGCTAACTATTCCGTTACCCCCACTGGAGCGAATCAGCGGTTATCCTTCTTGTAACTACTGTATGGTAAAAGCCTGCACTTTTCTTCACCTCTGCAAAAGTAGTGTTCCCTGGGTGCATAGCATACCCGTATGTTTGAGGCTGATCATGTGTGGACCAGCTACGTCTTGTTCAAACCATATATTTGTTTGTTGGTTATGTTGTGGTTTCCCGGTTTCGCTTTTTACCCTGAATCACTGAAAGTTCGCCGCAGTTACTTCGTGTTTACAGATTCGACCAGCTTAGAAATTAATCACTAAGATTTGGAGTGTAAGGGAGCAGTTTTTCTCTTCGTATGTTCAACTAGACGAACCATTATTTTTTATTAAAGAGGGAGCCATCGTGCAAAACCTTGTTCACTTTTTGAAGATAGTATCACCATAGCTGGGGTCTGGAATATTGTAGTTCAGTATGTCATCGGGAACCCCATTGTTTCGTAGACTGGTCCGTAACGTTTCTTTCTTGAAAGCAGTTTTTCACTACAGTTCTCATCATGCATCATCATCATCGACAGCATGACATCATTGTTTAACACGGATGCTTCATTGTCATATCTCATCAGGCGGATCCAATTGATAGCAGTCACCCAAAAGGTCATGTAAAACAGCCTCACACTGTTCCTGGGTGAATTCCTGAACCATCCATCCTTATCTCAGAGAATCAATATATTCTTACATAAGATATGCTTTGTTGTGTACAACCATGCCAACAAGTGAAGTTGTTTTCCGTTACAGACAGCTGAACAGTCCAAACGACAACAGGGACAAACTGCACCAGAACCCAAAGCCAATCTGTGACGGATTCTTCGGAATCCCTTGTGACAGCGCCTGTTTGATTTATTCCTACAAACATTAGATTTGTTTATTTGTTCTAAGAGATTTTCTTTTTTTTCAATTTGGTTGTCATTCCTGACCACATGAGCTATGAATTGATATTGTGGAATATAGGTAGCTCGGATGCTTTCTTTTGTCTGTTCGCCGAGCCTGTGATTTGGATTACCAACGTTTCGTCACCAGTCGAGGAAATATCGTCAGCTCGGAGCTGCGTAGGTAAATTCCTCCTCCTCCCTCTGTGCTCATACAATTTTTAAACTTGAATGTGTCACCTGTTTCCATCCGCGAACAGAAAATATAAGTTCGTTTGGAATAACTTCCAAATATTTGCTCATGCAAGAGCATTGGTAGTGGAAGTTTGCCTGGGTGTGGTGCCACGCCGAAAAACCACTCAATAGACACGGTGACCCCCAAGCGTAGAAAAATGAGTCAATTGGAAAACGTTTGGGGCAGACCGAGTAAGCTGTTTGGTCCGTTTGTGGTCTAAATGGATCAACGTGTTAGTAAGCTCCATCCAGTCTAGCAGCCCCTACAAGATTTACACAACTATTGAACTTTGAGTCACCTACGAAATCAAGTAACTTTCAAATTGACCAAATTACGCTGAAGCGACCTGGTGACCAACTAATCACGATATGGCTATTAGTCGCTAAAATCTAAGTGGAGGCAGAAGCGGAAGAGTTATTAACCCGTTCCCGCACTAACGATTTCTCCTCAGTCGCAATCCAAACACCAAGCTGGGTTGACGGACCAACAGCCTGGTTGTAAGTTCTCAGACCGGTAGAGTGGAACCGGATACCCTCATGTTTTTGAACAATTTCGCTCTGAATGTCTTATTTGGGCACTAAGACGATCTTACAGGCTACCGAGTTCCTTATACAGATGTTGGAGGCACGCGTAAGTTCGACCATCTTGGATCCCAAAAGGGAGAGTATCTCGAAAATCTGCGGTATTATCTAGAAAGGAATTAGTAAATGTGTATGGCATACCTTGATTTCCCACCGTTTCCGGGAGCCTTTCACTTTCGCCACAGAACGTCCATCGGACCGGGTATGCCACCAGGTTTATCGAATTCTATGACAGACAGAGATCTGATCAACAAGGCATCTTTCATCCAGCCGACTCAATCTGTGTTAGATGTCGATCAAAGTCCCTGTCTGCTAGTAAGGGCGACTAGGTCATACGGCCGACTGAGACGGAATTGGGGGAGTTTAATGACTATCTGGTCCTTTTTGGTCCCAAACTGACCAAGTCAGTTATTCGGTACCTAAAGTCTTCCAGTGGACTGTGTTGCCCACGTTCGTAAGGTCAATGCAAGTCTAGTGGCTGACCGGCACAGTGCACATCCACAAGTATACCTTAATGTCAACACCGATGATAGATACGAAGGCCATGAGAGGTTGGCCAAAAACAGGTATAAACAAACATAGAGTCCAAGTATATAGATGGCCGGGATTGTCAAGCTGTCCAAATTAATCCAATGCAATGCACAGGCGTCCATCAGCCTCGGTGAAAATGTCATCTTATCGATGAAAACAGTGGGTTCTTCATGTTATGATGAATCCGGTTTACATACATTCCTTGTCCTTGATAGAATGAGGGAATCGCTTGCCCATTAGAATGTTTTGTCTAATGTCTTCAATGAGCCTAATAGGTTCCGAAAACTTTCAGTGTAAGCAAAGACGTGTGTACAAGCTTGACGTGTGACAGTGAGAGCTGTGTGGGTTGTGGCCCTTGTGACGTCGACTGCTATCAGACTGCTTCCTTCAATTGTTCTCATTTCCATTGCAGGTTTATAGTATCATAAATCCATTCTGAACGGTGAATCTAGGCAGCCCCAGCACATATAAGCACGGCCGGAATTCCTCACTAATAATTTCTCTTCAGATGTGATAACAATTGTTCTCATTTCCATTGCAGGTTTATAGTATCAATAAATCCATCTGAATGGTGAATCTAGGCAGCCCCAGCACATATCAGCACGGCCGGAATTCCTCACTAATAATTTCTCTTCAGATGTGATCATTTAGGTACGTCTCGAGAATCACCCTTTTTTTCGACCAACGGAAAGGAATTCGAATCTTACCACACGTGAGCATGAACGTCATCCACCTTGGTGTAAGCTAATCACTTCACAAAGCGAGATAACCGGTCGAACAAAAATTATGAGGATGCACAAATAGTAACTTGATGAAGGTGTCCTTACAAAAACAAATGACTATTGCGGCTTAGGGTATAGATGTAACCGACTGAAAGATGGGATTGAAAATGCAGTATATCCCGACAAATTTCAGTCACTCCGTTTACATACGTTCTGCCCCAATCACTGTGTGATGTGAAACCAACGCAGCATTTGCATCAACTCTAAATTCCGCCGCATAACTTCACGAGTATATTGTTTTATCAAGCGTAGTGAAATTGCAGTATAGTCACATGGAACTGCGGTTTAGTTGCTGGGGCCAAGTTGACGTCATTTAGTGTGAATTCCATTACCATTACGAATAGGGTCGTCATCACTGGTTTTTCCACCTTTTTGGAACTTAATTCTTCAGGCCTAGGGGGGAAGGAATTTGCAGGAGAATTCGTATGGAACTGTTTCGGCACAAACCCAACAAGAACGTGTTTAGGCCAAAAATCATTATTCGGTTATAGCGCCCCTTCGGTACCTAACTTCTATGCCATCAGAAGAAAGCACGAGAGATAGGATGCTTCAAGGTTTCCCAAGCGTAGACAGCAACTTCTATGCCATCAGAAGAAAGCACGAGGGATAGGATGCTTCAAGGTTGCCCAAGCCTAGACAGTGTAAGTCGAGAGGCAGATGTCGGGTGCCAACTACGTACCTTCCGATCAGTACATTCGTGCTCTAACCACTGAGCCATCCCGCCTTGAAGTCATCAAACGGACAACAATTACCACTGCAATTCAAAATATAGTAAACAGCCCTGTTTCTCACAACCACACCAATAGGGGAGTATTGAAGTACCAATTGTGATTTGACGTTGGCATGCTCAGTTTCCGCTCGTCAAATTGATGACTACTCTTGGTACGTCAAACTCAGTGGGACAACCCGTCTGAGGAGCAACATAACTAGTTAGATGTGATACAAATGAATATGTCTATCGGACCGTTGTTTTCATGCGCAGGATCTTGTCTGGATAATAAACAAAACGAAAGGGTTGCCCTCCCGCGGAGTATAAGAAGGTAGTCTTTTAGTGCTTAAAGTGCTTCTTTACGTGGACAAGCGGACATCTACACAGTTCTACTCGTGGGTGTATTAGGAATAGGCCTAATACTGGTATTGTAACGTAGTTCCAGCATCATCATTGACAGCAGTACCAGGTGAAAAACATGCCTATGGAAAGTGTTGACGCTTCGGTAGATTTTTCAATGTTCAGCGTGAACGTATTCTTGATTGCAAGTCCTGACTACGGGAGCACCAAGAAATTTTCTGTGTGCAGAATAAATAGGCCATAATGTATTGAACGTGATTGGAATGACTGTGGCTTCCTCACCTCGATAATGTTTCATAGATGACCTGGAAATTTGTGCCTACAAGTTCACACATAATCCCGTTAAGGGCAGGTAGAAATAATATGACAGATTCAAGGATTGGTTAATGCATATAACCGAACAGACGTTTTTCTCAGGGCTATTGAAGATCGTGGTTGAACAAATGGGTTTTCTGAGCACGTTCTACATATGTGTATACAACTGAAGAACATAAGAGAGTGTGAACTTCCAGTTGGGTAATCGCAGGATTGTCCAGGTGGTTTTTTAATGCTAGTCTCCGTGCCTTAAGCACGTGTTCACTCATTAAACCATATCATGAACATAATCGCCCGTCCAGGCATTCTGATCCACTTGTGTCCGGTTTGCGCTGGTAAGGTGGTGGTAACAAATCGTTCCCAATATCAGATATCCAGAGTTCAAACTCCAGCACGACCAACGATATGCACTGCTGATGACCTCAACTGAGAGCAAAACTGGAATTCATTGCTTCCGTCCCCTCCCCTTTGGTGTGGACTCAGAGTAATGACGCCAGGAATTGAGCAAAACTGGAATTCATTGCTTCCGTCCTTTGGTGTGGACCCAGAGTAATTACGCCAGGAATGAATGACTGTTCGAACCATAGAGATGTGAATTGAGATTATAATTTAGATAAGTTGACCTAAGGAGCAAAATGTGAAATCCCACGTTTGAAGTATTAACAGCTTATGAATTTATCAGTAAGGTTGCGTGGCCGTGCACACTTAGACGATAACTTTGTATTTGTTGGCGTTGGGGAATATATGTTTATGTACCAATTTAGGTATCACGTATATGCCTTTTTTATAGAGCGCTCGGCTATCTATTGCGCATATCCAGATCGATAGCAAAAAGATCGGCCATTTTGTTTCTCTTCTTGGGGAATCAGTTTATCCATTTCGGAATCTGTATCCTGTTTTGTTGTGGAGAGTTTGCTTACTGGAGTGGGGGTCGGAATGGAAAAAGTGTAAAAGTCGTCTCAGAGACGAAGGTGTTGGTCTGGTTGTTAATGTACTTCGGCCGTTGGTGGACTAGAGGGATGTTAGCGCAACAATCGTTGTGTTCAGGAACATTTAGTGGTTAATTATGTCAGCCAAAACAATCCTAGAGAACCGGAGGCTGTTCCCTCGGAGTACGTACGTGGTCGTCTAGCGCTCATTTAATCTCACCACATAATACAGTGAAATATGAACTCCGTTTATCAACAGCTTTGACCAATAACCTTTTGTGTGGATAATCTGCTTGGGAAATAGAATGGATGAAAAACGTTGCTATGTCTTTCGTCGCTGAAATTTTGTAGAAGGTAAGAAAGATAATTCTGCGTAGATTTTAGATTTACGTCGGACAGGGCGTCTTTAGAGCAAATTTCCTCAACCAGCACTGGTTAATAACTCAAAGTGACCTTACCAGCCACTCTTTGAAGCACGCTGAGTGCTTACTAGTATCTTTTGATGGCTGCATTTCTGTCGCTAGGGTGGTGCGGTATTCAACTTACTGACTGCAAAGCTCAAAACCAACGTTCAACCAAGTCATTCGTTTATTAAGCCTGTACTCTGAAATTATTTTCGATCCGACGGTACTTGTCAGTTGATTTTCGACCCCTGAACAAACACTACAAGACCGGCAACCTCAAACAAACCGTTTTGTCTGATGAAAAAAAATAAAACGGTTGCATGTTTTGTGGACGTACAACAAACAGATAGATTTCCTAGTTATTGTAACGTTCTCCATGTAGACGCTATTAGTGGTAAAAATAGACA